GGTGGGGGGGGGGGGGGGGGTGTGTCCGGGGGGGGGGGGGGCAGCATAGCGTGGAATCGTTGTTGCAGTCAAATAGGGTTGCCAGTCCAATAGCTTTGTTTCTTTTACAAATATCTGCAAACTTTTATTAACAACTGAACATTTCTACTATAGGTAGTATTGGACCCTACATTTGAACCTGTCCCTGTCCAAGGACTGGCCTGGCAGAAGGGTTACATTTACATTATATAAAACATATATCAGTAAATACATCAGTAAAAATAACTGTCATCAGTAAAAAAGTTTGTAGATTATCACTCAAAAGTATTGACTTGCAACCCTGCTTGCATGTCACGACCCTAATTACATTCATGGGCAACCCTGATTGCACGTAGCATGCATTGCTCGTCTTTCCTCAATATAGATGGAATATGTCACTAAATCGATTCTTCTTTGATGCCTTTGGGCATGCTTTCCCATTTACTTTCTCTTCCATAGCATTTTTAGCTTAATGTTCCCTCTATCAGGTATGTACTGTATAAAAAGTATCTTTAGTCACAAAATAAAGTAAATAAAGACTGAAAAGCCCACCAAAAGTCTTAGAAAGACTCTCTATAATTTCAGTGAGCTTTGAACCAGACCACAAATTATGTGGAGGTGATGATTAAACATAAATTTGCTCTCAATCATAGGCAAGCATGGATAAACATCCATGGGTTTTACCTTATTCGGGATATGGAGAGGTTGTATAACTGGATGTGTTGAATAATTTCATCCAGCAATCGGTCGGTCATTGTATCAAAATCAGCAAAAGTATCAGTCTGGTGAAGAGAGAATGGTATTAACTGAAAAAAATAATCATCACTCAATTTTTTATGGCCCTTCCAAAAATTAAAATGGTCAAATTATAGTTCTGAGGTAAAAGACAAGCAAGAAAATAAGAACACCCAAGCATCCTTTTTGTAGTTTATCCCAGGAGCTAGGAAAGGAAGAAAACACAAATCCTATTTTTCTCATCTTGCAAGTCACTTCTAAGTTGGGTTCTTTCCCCTGAAAGGACTTTATAAATCTGTTTGTTGTTAATTGATTTTCAGTGATTCCATCACAATTAAACAACAGTGTGGATCACAATTAAACAGTGATCCATTTACAAGCAAACAGATCATCCGAGGGCTCCCCCACTTGTTGGTAAACTCTATAGACTCCCTCAAACCAAGTTTCATAGGTTCATAGATGCTAGGGTCGGAAGGGACCTCAATGGATCGTCAAGTCTGACCCCCTGGCTGGGCAGAAAAGAGTGCTGGGGTCATGTGACCCCATCCAGGTGCTCATCCAGTCTCTTCTTGAAGACCCCCAAGGTAGGGGAAAACATCACCTCCCGTGGAAACCCATTCCAGATTCTGGCAACCCTAACTGTGAAGAAGTTCTTTCTGATGTCCAACCTAAATCTACTCCCTATCAGCTTGTGGCGATTGTTCCTGGTTCTTCCCATGGGTGCTCTGGTAAACAGGTCATCTCCTATTCCCTGCTACCTCCCCGTCTCCCAGTGAATTTGTAGGCAGCCACAAGATCCCCCCCACAGCCTCTTCTTTTGGAGGCTGCAATATTTCTCAGCCTTTCCTCATAGGGCCTCTGCTTCTCATGCAGCATCAATAGTGATGAAGGCACATAGCATGAGGTTCTCCCTTGGAGGCACTTGGGGTGTCCCACTGCTACTGGTATGTCGCAAATATGTAACTGGTCGCACCCTCACAGGCCTGTTGATAATGCACACGGAGGAGGTAAAACCAGCTTATAATATCTCTAAAAGGCACTCCCACTGCAGGGTTTACAGGAATGGGCAAACAAAATGATTGCAGCCTTTCACCTTGATGTACATGAGGCTTGACAGACAGTATTTTGCTGAATGAGAAAATGCCCTTCTTAGTCACAAAGTTACTAATGTAGCAGAACCATACACTGAGCTCACATTGCTTAGGTCAACATTAGGAATATAGGGTTCCTAAAGCGGCCTGGCTTGATATCAGTGGAAACTGGAGATGCTCGGCAACACTGAATTTCAGCCCACTCACATACAGAAAAAGAAATGTGGGCGTGTAGGATGTAGTGCATTATCAGGACAGAATAGGTTATAGCACTATAAAGCGGTGCACCGCTACTGTGGGCTCTAACAAAGTTATCACAGGATGATTGCGCTGTTATCATAAATTGTCTTTTGGTATTTGACAGTTAATCAGTAAGATGATAGGCTCTAGCAGAAGTTCTAGGTTATTTATGACTCATGACAATACCGCCATTCACCATGCAATGAAATAAATAATAAACTGCCAAGTCAATAGGACTGCAAGCGAACCTCCTTTTTTTAGAACTGTGTCATTTGGCGAACCAACAGGACTCTAAATCAAATTCAAAACTAATGAGATTCTAGGGAAACAATCATCAAATGTTGTCACACACATTCAGGGAAAACATATTTAGTAATTAATGCTTTTGTGACAAAATTCATCTTGCTAATTGCAGCCCTTGCAAAGGAAAACATGAGCATATCCAATTTGCTATACTGCCTTAAAATAAATGTTCTCATAAACTAAAAACAGTCCACTACCCTCCTGCCTGCATCAATATAATTTATGATTTTTTCCTCAGCTCATTATCTTGAATCTTATAGGCTATTTAAAACTGGAAAACAAATACCATCCCAAGTGTAAATCACAGACAAACAGCATACAGAGGCGTAGCTCACCTGTCTGTTTTGCATGCCTCAGTATAATTTCAGGGACTGTTTTCAGTCAGATGCATTGTGTCAAATGTATAACAAATGATTTTCCAAATGGAACAGATTTACATTTTTTCCCCGAGAATGCAACATGTAGTTTGGCAGCCCGCACTGCAGATCTAGTATGGTCACATCATCACTCTCTCAGCACAGAGGGTCAAGGCAATATGGAAGCTATAGGCACAAGGGTGGGATACATGAATTCAGGTCCCAGCTCTACAGGGGGGCTGCTAAGACCTCAGTCAAGTGGCTCTTCTTCTCTGTACTCTAATTTTCCACAACATAAAATGAGGACAACAGCTCACCACGCTCTTGATAAGCGGTGTCAGAGATGTGGTCCATAGGCTGGATTTGGCATGTGAGTCTTGGACTGATTCTGCAATGGCACGTGCTTGCCCTGATCCCGCATTCAGTGCACACAGACAGTCTGGCATACACTCTGGGACTGGATTAGGTGCGCAGACTATCCCTGAAAGCCAGAGCCAGCACACTGCACTAGTCCAGTATGCACGCAGTGTGACTCTGGACAAGGACCAGTGCATACTGCATGTGGCTCATGGGGCTGGATCCAGTGTACACACTGTATGCAGCACCCCACTGAACCAGCCCTGCTCACTGGCTCTGGGCTTGTCTTGGGCCCACAGACTGGCCTCACCAGGATAGGCACCTCATGCAGTTTAGGCTCTGCATATAAACCCCAGGCCTTAGCAAGCACACATTACATGTAGCACACAGGGTTGGTTTGAGGCACATGCTGTATGAGCAGCCTGTGCTAGACCAACCTTTTACGCTGGTTCCAGGGATGGGGCCAGTCTGTGGGTCTGATCTAGCCTGTAGACCGTTCCACAGTCTTCATCCAGCCTTTGGGGCCAGATGAAATGGACACCCCTGCTCTAGATAACGGAGGTAAAGGTAAGGTTCACTTCTTTCATGCTTGTAAAACCCTATCAGGCCTTTGGTTGTAATGCAAGGCATTTTCCTTGTTACTATAATTTTGCATTCGTTCTAAATACAGGACATCTACTGATATCACTTGAGGGCAGGAAGAGTTCAGGCCATTCAACAGCTGCCTTCCCTTTGGAAAAGAGATCTTCCATGCAAAGAAACAGGAAATGCTGTCCCTCTTTCCCAGTACCGTCATTAAAGCAAGATAATGTTTTGGAAAGGCACTGGAAATCCTGACTCTGTGAATGAATGTGCATTATGCGTTCTGTATACTACATAAATGTGTTGCTCTATATTACACCATGGGCACAACATGAATTGTTAGTGCTTTGCATACACAGACATTAAAAATACCTTCTTTACCATTCAAGGAAATTATTAACTCTCCACTAAACAGAAGAAACACCAAACAAATCCAATAATACCCACCCTCTCCCTTTCCCCATTAATGGATGCACTGCACCCCCTTAAGCATTTACAATTGGCATTATTAGGTACATTCCTTTCCTTCTGTTCTGAGTAATGCTGCACACCAGACAATAGATTTATGAAGCCATTGTGTTTGCAATGACCGTGATACTTGTAACAGTGTCTTTTCCCCAAGGTCTTGATCTGATGGTCACTGACATCATTTCTCAGCTCACAGTCATATTCAATGGCATTAGGATTAGGCCCGGCATACCAGATTCTTCAATGAGAAAGATTTTCGTTGCCCTGAATCACAGTTAAATCAGGATTCTTGTTCAGGACCCTGCAGAAAACTCCTAATGGAATTTCTCTTGATGGGTGCAGACAAACAAAACATGTACTACGGAGTAATTTACCCCAGATTTCACTGGGCCTGTCTGCATAAGATGCTTACTGCACATTTGCCGAATAACACTGTGTAGTAACGTTGCAGCAAGAACCAAGCTACTAACTTAATAACGCTGCGCAGTAGGCTATTGCCTAGTAGGTAATACTAAATAACCATGCAGCTGTGCTACTGTGCAGTAACTCTAGGTACTGTGCATTTAGTTAGTACTTTACTAAGAAAGTACTGAACTAAATGAGCGGTACCTAAGGTGCGTTAATGAACATGTAGACGCACCCACTCTGTAGTAAGGAGCGGGGACAAAGCCACTTGCCCCAAACAGTAGGTACAATTACAACATCTGTCCACAGGGTGTCATGAGACCTTATTTGCATTGAAATGTCCCCTGCTACTATGAAAGAGGCAAGAATTCTTGTGCGTGATAATTTTTATTAGACCAATTGCATGGTTCAGGTAGACATAGACAGGCTTTTGAGGACCACATTACCATTCCTCAGGTCTCTCACAGGAACTAACACAAGATACATCACAGGAAGAGATCCACTTTATTCTTCTTTCCCCCCTCTATTTGGCATGGGTGAGGCCACATCTGGAGTACTGTATCCAGTTTTGGATACCCCACTACAGGAAGGATGTGGACAAATTGAAGAGAGTCCAGCGGAGGGCAGCAAAATATGGTTAGGCAGCTGGGGCACATGCCTTGTGAGGGGAGGCTGAGGGAGCGGTGCTTATTTACTCTGTAGAAGAGAAGACAGAGGGATTTAATAGCAGCCTTCAACTCCCTGAAGAGGGGTTTGCAAAGAGGATGGAGCTAGACTGTTCTCAGTGGGGGCAGATGACAGGACAAGGAGCAACAGTCTCAAGTTGCAGCAAGGGAAGTTTAGATTAGATATTAGGAAAAAAAAAACCTCTGAAGAAGTGGGTGGTGAAGCACTGGAACAGGTTACCAAGAAAGGTTGTGGAGTCTCCATCCTTGGAGGCTTTTAAGACCTGGGTAGACAAAGCTTCATCTGGGATGATCTACTTGGGGCTGGTCCTGCTTTGAGCAGGGCGTTGGACTAGATGTGACCTTGTGAGGTCCCTTCCAACCCTGATTTTCTATGATTTTAAGAATAGTATGGGTACCTGAATGTTTGCCTATGTCTATCCCAACCATGCAGTTGATTTGATAAGAGATATCACCCACAAGAATTATTGACTATCACCTATTTCATGAACCATCACAACAGCATCACCTCAATGCTACCCTACTACGATGGCTTTTTTCTGATCAACCATCCCTTGAGACCTACATTTCAGTGGCTTCTGGAGAGGAGGGGAGGGAGAGGGGTTGCAGGGAATGTAAGTGAGGGCACAAATGGGTCCTATACTACCTGGTTTCTTTCAGACATCAGGAAGTCCAGTTTTCCACCGGGGAGTCCCAGTTCTATAAAAGTCTTTACGAGTCGCAGATCCGCACTGTTACCTAGGAACACAGAGAACTCCATAAAACTTTTCATTTCACAGTGAGCCAAATAAGAGAGATTAAATCCATGCATCCAGCAGATGCATGCAGACCACTCAGGTTTTCAGTTCAAGTGTTGCAGTGTGCATGGGCAACATGTCTGATGCTTTCCCCATCAGGGCAACAGATAGAGGCTCTGTCCTTCCACCTTCTATCTAGCCAGCAGAGATTAAGGTGACCAGGCTGTAGCCTGTTCAGGAGTACATCGACTTTGCATTGCTCTCCCAAACCAAACACAGGGGTACCCTGGGGTCTTGAGTGGTTTATCTGCTCTATGGTATCTCCAAGTGCACTGTACCTCTGGGGGAGATCTCTCTATGCGCTATAATACAGAACTATGCTTAAAAGTATAATCCAGCTCAAACACACCTTCCCTTGATATATTTACCATTAACGGCAGGCTTTAAAAAAAGCTTTCCTAGCTCACAAAAAAATTAGCAAGATCTACAAAATGAGAAGGTGCCTTTTCCTAGGGCAGCTCTTAATCTATGAGGTGAGAGACACAACCTCGAGCCCCTGATCTGACTCCAGGCCATCTGCTTCTCAGCTCCAAGCACCAGGTTTCTTCCTTCCCATCCCCAACACCCCCACCCTTCTATATTTGATCAGCATCCTGGGGCTAAGAAACCGTTTCTATCCAAAACGGTACGTTCCTGCAAAAAGTTTCACTTTCAGTTGATTGGCATTTTCCAATTAAACTCCACTTATTTGAAAAAAAAAATAAATAAACCTACAGCCTAGCTTTCTGTGCTACTCTCAATACTACTTCTCACTCCCATTTCCTCAAAAGCCAATCGCCTTCTCTTCTGATGACATTTTTTTAGATTACATTTTTACGGCGTCTTTAAAAATGAATTTGCTTTTGGTGCGACAATCAGTTCAACACCTGGCAAAACCTGTAAACAAATTTGAAAGTCCCGTGCCCCTTTATAAATCCACAGCATGGCCACCACTTGAATACTGTGCCCAGTTCTGGTCCCCACACCTCAAAAAGGATATAGGAGGACTAGAGAAGGTACAGGGGAGAGCAACAAGGATGATCAGCAGTATGGAGGAGCTTCCATAGGAGGAGAGACTACACTAGGCCTATTCAGTTTAGAAAAGAGATGCTTGAGGAGGGGCACGATAAGGGTTTACAAAATACTAAATAGCAGAGAGAACGTAAATAGGAATTTACTATTTACTGCCTCTCTCAATTCAAGAGCTAGGGGACACAAAATGAAACTAGTCGGTAGTAAGTTTAAAACTAATGAAAGGACGTTCTTTTTCACACCATGTTTAATTAAAGCACAGAACTCCTTGCCACCGGATTTTCCTGATTCAAAAAGTTCAGCCAGATTCAAAAAGTTCAGCCAGATTCAAAAACACACTGGACAAATTCTTGGAGGAAAGGGGCATCAGTAGATGTTGAGCAGGGAGTGAGGGGCACAGCCTCTGAATAAGATCTTCTTAGACTTTAAATACTGGAGGTTGCAAGTGAGAGAGAGAAAGCAGGGAAAACCCTGATCAGACTCGGTTCACTCTCCCTTTCAGCACCCATCTGCCACCGTGTGCCACACAATACTGGGTAAGATGGACCTATGGGTCTGACCCAGCAATTGGTCATTCTTATGTGCTTAAATGGTAAGGAGGATGTAGGCATTTTTATCAGGCAGAAAGGGATTTTTTAAAGGTCTGATTTTATAAACCTTCTCCCTTTTCTAACAAGTCTTGATACACTAAATACTCAAAATTTCTGCACCAACTCTTTCTAGCTACAGTAGATTAAATGTTATATTATAGGCCAGAACATGAGGTAGCATAAATTATTTCTCTGAGGCTATGATATTTTAATGTAATTGAAAATCTAGCCTTATGACATTTTTTTCCCCCATCTGAACAACACCTTTGCTGTGTTTCTGTACTGCCTTTGTGTTTGGTCTTACCATCCAGTCCATGGACACAGACAACCAGGTGAATTCCATCTTCCAAATTTTCTTCCTCTTCCTCTGGTGGAAAATATGGGATATCAGAAGCTAGTACAGATAAGTCACTGTACAGAAATCCTTCAATCTTCATTTCTTTTTTAAATTTTTCTTTGGCCTGATAAAAACTGGAGAATACACTAATTAATCACAAGTAGGAACTGTGTGTTCAACAATAAACCTTTAAACTAGGAACAAGCAGGACAGCACTAGCAAAAAAAAAATGCCATTTGCAGCTTTGAAGGTAAAGGTCCATATGCTGCATCTTCTAGGTTAAGATAACTCTGAGGGAAGTGAGAGAGATGGCAGAGGGCTTGGTGCACATATCTATATTGGTTCCAAAAGGGACTGGGTTATATCCAGGGAGACAACACTTTCCCTTATACCAGCTCACCTGCTAAGCACCGAGAAATGTTTGACATCCAGGTGGACACATTAGAGATACATTAGCAAAGAAATCTAAGCAAAATTAAGGGGAAAGAAGGGACATGCCCTCTCCCTCAGACCTTAAAACATGTTAATGAAAAGTTGAATGTAGTTATTTCATTGACATTAGGGCTGGAAGGGACCTCAGAAGATCATTGGGTTCAGCCCCCTGCCCCAGGAGCAAGAAGTCAGCTAGGGTCAAAGGATCCCAGCAAAATAACCATCTAAACATTTCTTAAAAGTGTCTGGAGTAGGTGCTTGCACCACATCTGCGGGGAGTCTGTTCCAGGCCTTGGGGGCTCGGACAGTAAAGAAGTTTTTCCTTATGTCCAGCCTAAAATGGCCTTGGAGGAGTGTGTGACCATTGGTCCTTGCCAGCCCTTGGGGCACTCTGGTGAACAGGCATTCCCCCAGATCCTGGTGCAGATGTTCTGGAGATGTTCAATTTTATATGGACACTTAGCAGCTAAGTGAAGAACCAGTTCATTGCCTGCAGGTTTGGTCTAACAGTTTCCATCGGGATGTTTAAAGTTTGGCACTTCAATTAATGATTTATGTGCCAATAGAGGCAACCCAAGTTGATAAATGCCTGCTGACGCAGTAAGAGTCACCTCCACTCATGGAAGTGCCTCAGTGTGGAGTATGGTCTCTGACCTCCATAAACTAAATAAGAATAGTTTACCCCAAATCTTGCAACCATTGTAGCCATCTCACTGGTGAGCAGTTACTCATGTAAACCATCCTTTTGCTTTGAGTAGACTATTAGGTACATAACTGCTTACCAATATCAGTTCCTAAACTAGGGGTGGGCAAGTGGGACACTAGCTCTGAGTGCCAATTTAGAGGGGGTGCCAAAAAGGATGCCCCCTGGAGAGTCTGGGCAGCAGCAGCAAGTGCCACCCATGTACGGTGAGCCATTGTGACAGCATCCCCCAGTATAACGGAAGCCTTTGCTGCAACAGCAGCTGGGGTCTTTTGGTCTCTGGTAAAACTCTCCTGTGCTCAACACTCAGTCTCCACTCCGGGCACCAAAGTTCCCAGTTATGCCTCCGACCAGTCCATTAATAAGGAAGGATGATGTCACAATCCATGACATAATCTTTGGACATGAAAGCCCCGGATTTAGCAAAGCACACAAGCTGGTGAAGAGCTGTGTCAAACAGCAGAGGAATTAAGCGCACGCTTAACTTCAAGGACAAACGTAAGCGCTTTGTTCAATTTGGGCCTGGAGCCTACCAACCGCACCTTGGCTAGAACAGCAAATGGCAGAAGCGATGGGCATCAACCGAGGAAGTATTCAATCATAACCCCTGCTATATGCTGCCACTCAGGATTATAGAAGTTTGCGAAGAATTTAGTTAAAGATCCATCATTTTACCCACCTAATTAGTTTAAAAGTCTATGTCTCCATATTCTCCCAGAATTGAAGCAAAGACAAAACTAACAGAAGAATTTATAGTACATCAGATCCTGTAATATGCTGTTAGTGAGCAAGTCAGTGCAGAATAGTGGAGAGGAGGCAGAAGGGAAGGAAGGAAATGCTAAGACATTGCACTGAGAGTCAAGAGATGGGGGTTCAGCTCCCAGCTTCGCGACAGACTCCCTGCATGAACCCTTTCCAACCAAGCCCCATGGGAGTTGGGTGCCCATTCGTCTTTAAGGACCTGGACCTCAGTGTCTGTCTCAATTCTCTGTCTGTAAAAGGGGAGCTACAGTCTAGTTTTATTCCCCTTATTTTGTCTATTTAGATTATTTCTACTTTAATGCCTCCAGGACAGGGACGGTTGCACAGAGACTAGCAGACTGGAAACCTCAACCCTTGTTCGACCCTCCAGGCATTATCACAACACTAATAAAGGAAGTAATTACATGCTCTTACTTCAGCATCCTTTCATTGGCCTCTTCATCCATGTCGTCTGAATGAGAAGAGACAACTCCGAAAGAGCCCAAGGGCTGGCGCGTGATCGGGAAAGCAGCCTGCTTTGAAGAGAAGCCAGCCGTAGCTGGAGTCTCTTTGAGCACAGAGGAAAAGGGAAGACACGTGGCAGTGCAAGACACAGACAGGTTAACCACATCGCCAGCCTTTCTGCTCTCCAGGGCTAAGCCCTCTGTAGCCACAGAATGAAACCCAGTGCCGTTAGCCACAAGTTTGTGCTCCCTCTCATCTGGATCCCGAGGATACTCGCGCGGAGAGGGCCCTGAAGCAGGGTCCACGAATGGAGGTGCATCACCGAGTTCGATTTCTTGTAAATCCTGCATTTCCTCACAGGGCGCCAAGCCTTCACTGCTGCACTCTCCTCTCATTGAATCAAGTCTGGCTGACGCCTCCGAGGAAGCTGGAAGAGTGTAGCAGAAGTCTGGCACCTGGCTCACGCAGTGGGAGAAATTCTCCACATCCGATATACCAGCAATAGAATAAAAGTCTTGACCTAGTTTCAAACCCTCAGGCACAGACTGAAGTGTCTCATTTGGGTCCTTGCTATATGCAGCAGCTGGAACTACATTTGTGTCCAGGTAGGTGCAGATGCTTGGCATTTTCAAGCCATGCTTGCCTTTTCTTTGCACCGCTGGGCATTCAGTGGTATCATCTTGGTGCTCCGTTACATTAACAGTTTGTTCTGCATATCCCAAACTACAGTCTGTTTCAGTGAAAATTTCCTTATCTTCATCTTCCCCCGGTAACTCAGTGCCACAGATGCCCTGTTTGACAGTGGCATTAGGACGCTCTCCTGAGGCAGGGCCCGGGTCCAACCGCTCACTTTGGGTTGCATTTTGAGAGTCAACAAAGCCCCCCATTAAGTCGGTTCTTCTGTATTCTGCATGCAAGTAGCTTTGCAAGTTCCCATCCACCGCCTCCAAGGCTGCGTCATCATTTCTGGATAAATCCTTGTCATCGATGGACTCCTCTGGACTACTGATCTGGGGAGCGGAAACCGATTTGGTCAGCTTTGTCAGTTCTACCTCCCTCTCTTCTTCCTCAAATGGCAAAGAGCTAATTGAGGTCAGCGAGGCCTGAATCCCACTGGGCAAGCTCGTGTTGCTTTCTGTGTGGCCTCCCTCCAGCGAGTTCCTGTGTATAGCGTGCCTCCGGACCAGCTGCTGCAGAATCTCGCGGTCACTGGGCAGGTCCAAAGCCCTGCTACGGGCATCAGACCAGGCCACTGAACTCGGCTCGCTCTCAATGCCAGAGTCCGAGATTACGGAGGAGGATCTCTTTATAGCTCCAGAACTCAGGGTAAACTCCTCACATTCCTCAGCTCTTTGCTCCTTTGGAAATGTCTTCACTTCAAAAGTACCAATGGGGAGTGCCTTCAAAGCGGGCAACAGAGTCTTGCTTTCTGGATCCCCTGGTTTTCCAAGGCCATTGAGTTGATTTAGTGCAAGCTCATCTGAAGTGAGATCATCATCACCATCCTTAGACGTAGCCGTTTTACTTAATTCAGCCCCATCTAATAAATCATCAGTCCCGCATGCCCCGTTCTCATACTGAGCACTAATGACGAATACAGGTTCACTTTTACAGGATTCCTTATTGCTAGGTATCGTGTGCGTTACACTTGTTGCAAGTCTATCAGCTGCTAATGAAGCATCCGCTGATGCCTTACAGTCTTCTGCTGGCCCCAAGTTAGAAACAGTTTCCTCACGAGAAACAAACAGGTTTTCCTGGGACACATCGGTTTTCCTTTGGCCTTCTTTGTTCACTGTATATACCTGAGATAATGGGTGCTGGGTCAAGCCTTCAGCTGCAAAAGCAGAAGCTTCAATATCACTATAGATGCAAGTGGGATTCCCATTGATCTTATCCGTGTGTATTAGCAGAGGCTCTCTCCTGAATTTCCCCTTTGGTGATACAATGTCATTATCTGTAGTGAGATCCCCCTTGTTATTTATTAAGTCCATTGGCGTGCTGTCCAAAGCAGGACACTCAAAAGCTGGGTACATGCCCAAACTCTCCCCTGCAAGAAAAAAAAAAGTTAATGTTGATAAGGATATACCAAACCACCCCAATACAATATGGATTCATGGCTACACAAGAGCTCAAAACACCCATATTTATTATTACATACACACCCCCAATAAATATTCTTCAAGCATTAATTGCGTTGGCCAAGAGTTACATCACTAAACAATGAGGGCATGTCCAATATTGGATGATTCTAGTACATTGTGGCCATTTGTCCCAGACACACACTCCAGACCCAAACATGATGATGTCCTAGCAACCCCAAGTTGTTCTCAAGATCTCGCTCTATGGCAGTGGTTTCCAATCTGTGGTATGGGTACCACCAGAAGTGTGCAGGCAACCAGTAGGCATTAACAGATTTATTATAATTACTTTATATGACAAAAATTTGCTGGTGGCACCTAAACTTATATCATTTTAAATGAGTGGTGCACGACCTGTCAGAGTTTGGGAACTGCTGCTGTATGCTGTGCTTGAGAACACATGCTAAAGAATAACTTGGCCTTGCCTCATTGATGTCTCTTGGCTTGCAGTGTGCAAGAGGGACTGGGTTGCCAGGGTGGGCTTGAGAGGGTCCCCTCAATGTCTGTTGGAGCTGTGTGTGCTCTGCATCTCCAACAATTATGCAATTTAGTTACACTGATGGTCTAAAACAAGCACCACTGATTTCTCTGGGGTCAGTGCTGATACCACTTTGCTTTGTAAGATTCCTCCCCAGTGTTGGAAATGCAGAGAGGAACCCCAGTACTTGGTGAAAATTACAGGAAATTAAGAACTGCATTTTTTTTTTTCAGTATGAATTGGTGAAATTAAAAACAAAACACAAAATCCCCCATGCCCCCTAATGCTAGGGAAAAGGGCTAACATGTGGCTTGATGCATTTCCTTCTGCTGCCGGCTTGGAAGAGTTAGAGATAAGGAGCTTTATGCAAGGTTTTTCCCACCACTAGATGTCACTCTAGCAATGAAAATCACCGAGTGAAACTCCAAGGGAGTTCTTTCCTTCAGGTTTAACCTCCAGTCCTTGGATTTAAATGGTTAATCCCAAGGGGGAAAAAAAGAAAGAAAGAGAGTAGTTATAAAACAGGAAGTATCATTTCTGGACCTTGCTGAAACAAAAGGGAAAAATAGGTATGAGCAGAATCAATCCCTCCGTATTGAAATGTGACCAGAAATCCTGTCCCTATCCTTGATGGAAAGATCACCAGGACCTTTAATGATCACAGGTGCTTGGAACAACCTTGGTTTTAAGCCCATCTGTAACAGAGGATCCCCTGGCAGCCACGGTGCCCACTTGCACTCTCAAACTGGTTTAGTGCTCCTCTACCTATCCACCCTCCAAGGCTACTTCTTGCAATCATCTGGGGGCAAGCCCATCCGTGCACGGTGTGCGAGCTATCTAGAACCCACAGTCTGAGGTGGATCACTCACCTTTGTAAGGGAAGTCTACGTATCTGTCTTCAAAAATGACAGGGAGCGTGTTCCAGTCGCCGTCTATGTCGAGGCATTCAGCTGGCAGGGGGGGCATGCTGCTGAAGTACTCCGAATTGCGAATTTCTGTCGAAATCTGCCCGTGATTTTGGATCCTGAGACACCAGACACAGAAAGGAAGTGCATGCATGCAGATTTCTCTAGCATTTATATCAGCTATTTAGCAGAACAGATCAGGGGAGGACCAAACCTGGCAGGCAGGACAACATTTTGAAACTCAGGAGCCTGAAGTTAGGCATTGCATTTAGATCCATAGTGTGGCCCTAAGAAATGGCTTTATTTGCAAATGCTGAGCAATAACTCCAAGAGGAGTTGGAAGAAGGAGGTTCTCAGAAGTAGGCAGGGTTGGACCGTGATATATTCATCAGGGGAAAGCAGAAGAATCATAAAAAAGTAGGGCTGGTAGGGACTGAAGAGGTCATCTAGGCCAACCCCCTGCTCTGTGGCAAGATGGAGCATACCTATAATATCCCTTAGAGATGTCTGTCAAACCTGTTCTTTAACACCTCCACAGATGAAGACTCTCCAAATAGCCTCTTCCCACCTTTCCCCATCCCAGCACTGAGAATTTCCACCCCCGCTTTAGTATCTATTTGCAAGGAGCATTCTCGCTCCCCTCCCATCTCTTTGCTATTCTTTCTCAAGGATTTCTCGTCATCCTAGCAATTACAGCTAGACATGAGAAAGAGGATGGGAATGGCTGGGGGAAAGGTGAGGTCATGCTCATCGTTGGCTAGACGCACCCTAACACTGTAAAAGGATGCTCTTCTCTGTGCAATAAACAGCTGGAAGGATAAAGCTGCACGCTTTTGGGCAGGTGTGGCTCTTCACTAGCATCTTTGGAGGACTGTAGCTAATGGGAAATTAGCTCATTATGGGCTTGATTTGCTGAGGTGCTGATCCTCCATAATTCCGGCTGACATGAACTGGAATGGTGATGGACCTGGAAAATCTGGCCCAATATGTGGCAATGGCAAATGTGAATTATCTCCATGTGATCATAGGACGATAAGGCTGGAAGGGACCTCACAAGACCATCTAGTCCAGATCAAGGTAGGATCGTCTCTGCCTAAACCATCCCATCTAAGTGTCTGTCCAAGCTGCTCTTGATATCTTCCAGATACAGAGAATGCCAAAACTTTGACGTGTCCCAATGCTTGGCCACCCTCAGTCAGAAAGCTCCTCCTAATCCTTAATATAAATTTCCTCTGCTGCAGCTTGAGGCCATTGCTCTTATGCCCACAAACAAAAACCCATCTCCATCCTCTCTATAACTGACCTTTAGGTATTTGAAGACTGGTATCAGATCTCACCTTAGTCTTCTCTTCTCCAGAGATGCTTTTCCCTGGGGCATCACGACAGAGATGGAATAAGTAAACCCACCCATTACTTGGTGCCCGCTCACTTTTAAGAAGGATATCCTCAAGACATGTTCTCTGCCTCCCCAGAGATAGCTGCCTCTCAAATATAAAGCTACCACTTTCCTTCCAAGACCTTCACACTACCATGCTATAATGTCACCAACTTCACCATGTAGCATGTAGTGTTTGGCAGCCCTTTGTTCTGTAACACTAGAGATATAGACATAAATAATATGGTTGCCAAACTGCTTTTCTCCTGGAAGATTACTCCTTATTGTTTTAATCTAAATTGAGCATCGTCTTTAAAAAAATTACCTTTCAAAGATTTTGGTGAAAAAGCAAGTAGAGAAAGCAGGCTTACCATACAAAGTGAAAAGATGGAGGAAGGCAAATGACACGCAAGTGATTTTCTCTCTCCTCTGAAGACCCAGTCCTCAGTGGGAGTTTGGCCTAATTCAGGATCACAGGATCAGGGCCAGGCAGTGCCCTGAATTACAGTAGAGATGCTGTGCTGCATCTCCTGAGGCCTTATGCTGCTGTTTCAATGCCTGGGTTTTTTGCAGCATGCCTAGCTCCAGCAACAGCTCTCCCTTGCAGTAGCCCTACTCAGAAGCTTTGCAGCCCAGGAGACACTAAAGGGCTGAATGCTATTTGAACCTCCTCCTCAACTTCCCCTAAGTACACATCCCCTGCATCCCAAACGTGCTCTAAAGCACTACTGAAGCATATCACCATCACCCACGGGCAGTGTAAGATAAAGCAGTGGTCTTAGAGGTGGGAGGGAGAATCTGTGCTCCTGTGCATCTTGGCCTTTGTCAGCCCTTATGGATATAAGTAGGAAGCACAGTTTCGCCTTTTCTCTCTCCCTGCTCCACAGCTGAATGGCAAACTGACTCTTAGGGCATTTTTAAGGCAGGAGAAATGCAGTCAATCAACCATCCCACAAACTGCTTTTATCCTTGGTTTATACTGCATGACAAGCACCAGTGAACTGAAGCAGAGGATGAGATAAAACATCTCAGCTTCTTGCATCAAAGACCTTTATACCCACATAGGGAATTAAGAAGGAACTGAAGGTGATAGAGGACTCTGACATCTCACCAGGGAGCTAAGGACATGAGCCTGGACCTCACTCCATATTCATGCCAAAGGCTGGCCTCAGTAACCCCCAACTATACCAAGTCACTGAGGCTGGGGGATCAAAGGCAGCTGGGTGGTTCTAGCAACATCCCTTTCTTATGTTGGCCGCAGAACTACAGAACTGTGTATGTCCTAGCCACATTGATGGGCCACCTCAGCTGGGACAGTCTTTGGCTGCTTCTTCTTTTGACACTGGCTCAGCTGCAGTGAAGTACAGCAGGTGCAATAGTGCATCCCTGCAAGAGGGTGATGCAAAGCTCAGAGTTAGGTTTGGATCTGAATTAGAAGTACAGGGATGTTTGAGAGCAGGTTGGGGGGCTGTTTTCATTAGTCATGTAGATTAACTAGAGATGATGCTGAGAGAGCTCAGCCAGAACCCATGACTGGCATACTCTGTGGTTCTCTAAGGAGGAAGCAACATTTTTCACCCAGTTACAAGATCTAACCCCACCGGCAGGTCTACACGGACAGACGAGGGGAGAGGCCCAGGCCCATATTGTTTTGAAGAAACATGAAACTATTCAAGCTATAGTGCAAGTGTAGTACATAGCTGGATCACCACACTAGCACATGGTGGGCCATATCTCAGCTAGTCCTGCTAAGTGCTACTAGTACAAATAATAAATACTAATGATATGCAGCCAGAACAGGGACTAGCCAATAATGCACGCTAAACAGCATTACTAGTAAGTCTCACTTCACAGAGGAAATATGAAATAAATACAGGAAAGGACGCAAGGAGCACACATGCTTCAGTTAAAGGAAGAGCAGGCTACAACAGATGAGGGTGGAAGGTGTGCATTATCTAAACAACAGAATAACAAAGCAGCGTGGGATTAAAGGAGGAAGTTCACATAAAACCAGCTGCATCCATGATCCATGTAGTGAAATATCCTCTCTCAGATAGGAACCAGTACCAGATGCCTCCGAAAACTATCAAGAAACCACATAGCAAAGCATTTTAGGAACGATATGCCTTTAAGCAAAGTTTCTCCTAGCCCCCATGCTTTGCTGATTGGTTTCTACCAAAAAGCACTCATCTATTTCCACAGTCTCTAATAAAAAACGTGAATGCTCTCCTTAGCCACATACAGGCCTAATTCTTTTTAGAGTTTATTAAGCTTTGAGCCTTCATGACATCAGACAGTGGTGCGTTGCACTGGGTAACACTGCATTGTGAACAAAAGTGGGGTTTTTTGTCCGTTATAACCATGGTGCTTTTCACTTTTGCTAAAATGTCCCCCAGCCCGAATTCTCCTCCAGCCTGCGAGGAAAGCGCCTTTCAAAAGCAAATTCTTTATTCAGCTCATCCCTTTCTTCTACCAGATAGAGATGCAGGCCACAGACCATGCCAGGCAGCAGCAGGATTGAAGGCTTTCCACAGGAAGGAGCTAGTGTAGCAGCACACGGATGTCAGACGTCTTGCCGTCAGATCCAGTTAATCGCTGTGTGATAACTGGAAATGACAAGCCTTGGACACGGCAGAACAAAAAAAGGCATCGGCCTAACTCAAACAAGAGGCTTGGCATCCAATTACTTGCTCCTTGTGCTTATACAGATTTCTGGATCCTGCATGCATATCTTGCCAACGCTGGCATCTCGCCCACGAGCTCCCTTTTGCTCTTTCACAGTTACCTTGGTCCAAATGTTTGACCGTAAATCCTTTCAGAATAATTAAATAAAGGACATGCATAGAAACCTGTTTCCCTCCTGCCTGGGCATGCTGTATTGTTCTGATTACAAACTGAATCTACATACAAGGTGACTCTACATTTTCAGATTCTTTTAAAGGAAAAAAAAAAAAAGAAAACAGCTTTTCCCTCCAAATAGAAATCACTAACTACAGATGAAGTCCTTGAACTGCTACTCCCTTATTCGAATCCCTTGTGAAATTTGTAACTAAGGAGAAGACTGGAAGGATTAAATTTACTAAAAATACTAACATAAAATCATCCTCTGTACCAAGGATAATATTGCTTGAGGTTTATCATAGTTGTCTTCAGCCTAGGATCCCAAGTCAATACCCATCAAGACAAATATCTGGAGTCAAATGGACTCTCTCTGTACAGCTCATGTCATGTAAAGCCAAACCCCTACATCCGAAACCCTAGTTTAAGAGGCTCAAAACCCCTAAGAGTCCTACTTTTCTGAGGGATGTGGATGTATTTACATCACTGTTATGTGCAGTTATCAGGTCCAGTTTGACCTCTCCTAACACTGTGAAAAAAATAAACTCAGCTAATATGTGCTTTCAAAGAACACACTTTGCAGTTGTCTTTTAAAGACTTTAAAATTGAACTTCATCAATGTTTTGGTCTAGTGCTAGGTATCCAGGTTGATGCATTGGTTTAGAGGAAAAGGCACTCATAGCAGAGATGATATTGTTTATTAGACCAACAAGATTTTTGGAAAAAAAAAAAATCTTTAATTGCAGTCAGTTGATAGCCCAGAGGAGTTGTCCATCTATTGACTCCTCTGTGAAATCCTATGAAATACAAACTTTCATTTCTACCCAGGAGAACTTTTACAATCTTTTCTCTGATGCCTGATGAAGGACATTTGATCCTGAAAGCTCGCAATTAAAGATTTTGGGT